TAGTGTAAAGCTTTAAACTGGGAGGAAACGTGCTCAACTTATCTTTCAGAAGGAAAACTCTGTAAATGGAATGATAGGAAGACTCGCTGAGGGGCTACAGATATGAGGAACTGAGCTAAGGTGACAGTTTGGAGACTGTATGGTGATGGAAAGGACTTCGAAAAGTGAAAGGTGTGATGGCGGTGAATTCAAAAGAGCTTGGTTTCAGAATATTTTCTACCATTTGAGTTCTTTTTAAAAATGTTACATTTTCCTGGGTATCTGGGTGGCTCAGTGGGTTAAGCCTCTGCCTTCAGCTCAGGTCATGATCCCAGGGTCCTGGGATTGAGCACCACATCTGGCTCTCTCCTCAGCAGGGAGCCTGCTTCCCGCCCCCGCCCCCCTCTGCCTGCCTCTCTGCCTACTTGTGATCTCTGTCTGTCAAATAAATAAATAAAATCTTTTTAAAAATGTTACATTTTCCTTATTGAATGTTTTAATTTGAGCAAAATAATGGGTTAAGCCTTTGTAAAATCTGCCTAAGTATCTTTTTTGTTTTTTTTTAAGATTTTATTTATTTATTTGACTGAGAGAGAGAGAGAGCACAGCAGGGGGAGCCGCAGAGGGAGGGAGAGCAGGGAGCCCAATATGGGACTTGATTCCAGCACCCTGGGATCATGACCTGAGCCAAAGGCAGACGCTTAACAGACTGAGCCACCCAGGCGCCCCTCTAAATATCTTAATAATAGAATAAAATCACTGAATGATTAATTCAATTATCATCTAATTGAAAGATTAATTTTCTTTCCTTTCCTTTTTTTTAGACAGAGCACCATGCACAAGGAGGGGTGGGTGGGTGGGGGCAGAGAGAGAGAGAGTGGTTCGAGAATCTTAAGCAGCATGGAGCCCCACTGGGGGGTTGATCTTACGACCCTGAGATCATGACTTTCATGATCTGAGCAGAAACCAAGAGTCAGGCACCCAACTGACTGAGCCACCGAGGCGTCCCTGGAAAAATTCATTTTAAAAATCAGTTTAGAGGTGACTGCGTGGCTCAGTCAATTAAGCATCTGACTTTGGGGCAGGTCATGATTTCAAGGCCGTGGCATCAAACTCCATGTAGGGCTCTTCTCTGTGCTCAGGGTGGAGTGGGCTTCTCCCTCTCCCTCTGCACCTCCCCCTGCTCATGCTCTCTCTCTCCCAGATAAATAAATAAATAAATAAATAAATAAATAAATAAATAAATAAATATTTTAAAAATCAGTTTTGTTGGTCACTCTATGTGGCTTCTGCTTGAGACATAATAGATATAACTACAGTCTACAAATCTTCCTCTCCAAAAAGACGTTCTTTTCCTAGTTCTGAGGGAAAGGATTTCTGATGTGTGAGAAAGGATTTTCATTCTTAAATGGGAGTAATAATGCCTACAATGTTCTCATCTTCATGTCACCTGATAAAGGAAAAAGCTAATTTCTCTTCATTTTCTTCCTCCACCCCAGAAACCACCATCCATAAGAAATAATCTCAAAATAAAAGGTAAATTTTTACATTAGTTTAATTATTAATTTGGGCAGTGATTACTTAAAATTATACATCCATATGAAAAATTTGAATAATAATACTTAACTGGCCAAATTCCTCCCATTTGTTCATGAAAACTCACCCCAAAAGTTAAGTAAATAAATCTTTTTCTAGAAATTTCTTTAGAGAGAACTTCAACTGAGGAAAAACATTATATAATGTGCTTTATTATAATGGACAGTATTGCTTCTGGTCAACAGATGTTATCTGACAGGACAAATACTTGGCACAGAAATTACTAACACATTCAAAAACTAATCTTCCCTGAATTCAGCTTTGACTTAGAAGCTGGCTGTGGAATACACTGCATTAGAAAAATCACATTAAAAAAAATAGAGTAGTTATTTCATATTATTCAAGACTGCTCCATACATTTCTTTCAATAGTGAAAGTAGTGTTTAAATTTCAGGGGCATGTCGTTGGTTAAAACATATGTTGTGTTTTTTATAAATTTAGTCCTCTTTTATATCTCTGTCTTCATCAAAGAGAACTTGGTTATCTGATTCTACTGCCATTGTTAATCTTTTGTAATTGGTTTCATATTCCAAGCCCCACACTCTATACCACTTTGACTTTGTTAGGGTATATTTTTAATTTTATCAAAATCGGCCAATGATCTAATAAGAAAAATACTGTTTGTGAAATACTGTTGTTAAATATTCATCACATTGGTTGTTAAAGTTTAAAAAAGGCTAATAAAATATAGTTTGCTTTTGGACTTATAGCTGCTGTTTCAAAAGGTTGTTTGTTCTAAATAAATACTGGACTTTAAAAGGAAAAAAAAAAAACCCTTCTGTATATAGTCACATTTGGCATTGAGTAGTTCTAAAATTTTTTTCAGAAAAGGCAACAATTGGCCAGAAGGTAAAGCCGGACAAATTCTGGATCTGTGGGGTACAGCTCATTCTTTCATCATCCCTGTTGAAGAATGTGACAGGCAACAACACAAAAGCTAGTCTGCATCAAATTCAAAGTTAAGCTTTATTTCCTAACTATCTTAACTACGTATTGCTGCTTACAGTGCCCCAACTGCATGGCTTAGTACACAACCCTCTGATTTGCTCACAATTTTATGGATCAGCAATTCGGTCTGGGTGTTCAGCTGGCCGGTTCTTACTCGTTCTTGCCTGGGATCTCTCAGTTGCAGTCGTTTGGCATGGCGGCTGAAACTGGAGGATCTAGGATGGCCTCACTCACGTATCTGGGGTTAGCGCTAGCTAGGGATGGGGCCCCTCTCTCCATAAGGTCTCTTATTCTCATGGAGACCGTACAGTAGTCTCAAGGTTCCAAGCAAATGAGAAGTCTCACAAAATCACTTCCACAGCATTCCATCCAAGCAAGTTACAAGGCAAGTTCAAATTCAAAAAGATGGAAAAATAGTCTCCGCCCCTTGATGGAAAGGGATATAAAGGCATACTTCATTGGAGTGTATGTGGAAAGACTATGTGACTGTTTTTTCCCAGTCTACCACACTAACAATGGCTCAAAATTCACAAACAATATGGAAAGGATTGATTATATAAAAATTAAAGAAAAAATCTCTTGTACCACAAAAACACCGTAAGTAAAGTAAGATGAATGACAAACTTGGAAAATAATTTCAATTTATATCAAAGTTTGCTATCTCTAGTACAGAAAACTATCTTAAAAATAGAAAAGTAAAGGACTAACAACACTATAAAAAATGCATTGAAGGGGCACCTGGGTGGCTTGATTGGTTAAGTCTCTGACTGATTTCAGCTGGGGTCATGATCTCAGTGTTGTGAGATGGAGCCCTGAGGTGGGCTCTGTGCTGGGCGTGGAGTCTGTTTATGATTCTCTCTCTCCCTCTCCCTCTGCCAGCACCCCCACTCTATCTCCCAAAATTTAAAAAAAATGCATTGGAGATATGAACAGAAACTTTGCAGAAAAAGAAATGCTACATTGCCCTTAACCAAATGAAAAAAGGTTCAACCTCACTCTTAATAAAGAAAACACAAATTAAAATCATGCTGATACAAGTTTTCATCTATCACATCTATCAAAAGTCCAAATGTTTGGAGTGCCTGGGTGGCTCAGTGGGTTAAGCCTCTGCCTTCCTCTCCGGTCATGATCTCAGGGTCCTGGGATTGAGCCCCACATCGGGCTCTCTGCTCAGCAGGGAGCCTGCTCCCCAGCAACCCCCTCCCCCGCCTGCCTCTGTCTACTTGTGGTCTCTCTCTCTCTCTGTGTCAAATAAATAAATAAAATCTTTTAAAAAAAATCCAAATGTTTGACAATACACTCTGACAGGAAACACACTCACGTACATTGTTATTTTGGGAATACAAAATAGTATGACTCCTATGGAAGGGCTTTTGCAATAGATAGCAAAATTACTTACATATTTGATCTAGCAATCTCTCTTTCAGAAATCTATCCTAGTGAAACACTGGGAAAAGGCAAAAAGACATTTTGCAGAAGCTTATCCAATGCAGTAGTATTTGTGATTGCAAATAAGAGAAACAACTCAAATGTCCATCAGTAGGAGACTGTTGAGTAAATCATAGTACCCACACATGTAGCTCCACGCAACTGTAAAAAGTAATGAGAACTAGGGGAACCTCGGTGCCTCAGTCAGTTAAGCATGTGACACTTGGTTTCAGCTCATGTCATGATCTGGGTGTTGAGGGATCCAGCCCCAGGTAGGGCTCTGTGCTCAGTGGGAAGTCTGCTTGAGATTCTCTCTCTCCCTCTGCCCTTCCCCTCCCCCTGCCCCGCCCTCGCGCGAGCGCGCGCGCGCGCTCTCTCTCTCTCTCTCTCAAACAAATAAATAAATAAATCTTTTTTAAAAAATTTATTTATTTATTTATTTGACACACAGAGAGAGAGATCACAAGTAGGCAGAGAGGCAGGCAGAGGGAGAAGGGGAAGCAGGCTCCCTGCTGAGCAGAGAGCCCCATGCAGGGCTGGATCCCAGGACCCTGAGATCATGACCTGAGACAAAGGCAGAGGCTCAACCCACTGAGCCACCCAGGTGCTCCAAAATGTTTTTTTTTTTCATTGTTCATGCAATGCTGTGTGTATGTTAATGTGCAATAAATATTATAACCTATATTTTATATTATACATGATCTTTAATACTATAGACTATAGATTATTTATACATTAGAATTAGTGAATAAAAACAGAAGCACTAATGACTTTCCAACTTTATTTAAATGAGTTCAAATCAAAACTCAAGAATCTAGATTAACATACATTAAGGTACAGGTATAGCAAAATTAAAGTGAATGCAGATTGTACAGAAAGCTCAATTCCTATGATATAAAACTGAAATACAAAGATGGAACTCTGTGAGCTCTTTACTGAAATGTCATATTCTGATCTCAGAGAGCAGGAAACTATTCACACCCATAAAATCTCAAAGTCTCTCAATCCCCAAGTCTATCAGTAGATACCAGAAATCTTCAAGTTTTCTAGCAAAGAAGCCTGTCCTAAAACTATGATGACTGAAACTACAAAAGCACCTATCAGACACGATGGCATTTTTTTGGCTAAAGGGTCGGTCAGCAAGAGATTAGCCTTGAGCCGGGGCGTGGTCGTCGGAACCAACGCTGGCTTGCTCCTGTAAACCATCCCCAGCAGAGGATTCTGATTCAACGGGAGGACTCTTTTCTTCTCGTTCAGCATTTCCACCAGCGCTTTCCTTGTCTGCTGTCCCTTTATCATCATTTCCGGCAACAGCTCCATCCAGAGCTGCACTCTGAACCTCTGGGGGCGCTTCGGCGCTGGCTTCTGCGGTGGTGCCCAGCGCGGCCTCTGTCGCCTCTGCCCCCACTTTAGCACTGACCGCGTCGGGCTCCCCGGCAGTGTCCTCCACAGCCCCGGGACAGGCTGAAGCCTCTTCTACCTCTGCAGCTGTAACATCTGGAGTATCTTCCGCATCTACCTCCAGGACTTCCGGGGCAGACACTTCACACACGTCTGAACTTGCTTTCTCCGCTCCCGCCACGTTCTCTTTTTCACCTTTAAGATTTAGTCCATTAACCAAAGGGTTAATTTAAAGAGCATGGGAACACAGCGGAGGTCCGCGAAGTCATTTTAAAAAAAAATATATATATATATATTTTATTTATTTATTTGACAGAAAGAGAGAGAGATCACAAGTAGGCAGAGGCAGGCAGAGAGAGACAGGGCAGAGAGCCCAATTCGGGGCTCGATTCCAAAACCCTGAGATCATGACCCCAGCCGAAGGCAGAGGCTTTTACCCATAGTCACCCAGGCGCCCCCCCACCCCGCCGCCCCCGGCCGCGCAGTCATTTTTTAAAAATGAGACAAAGCTATCTGTACTGATATGAAATGCTCTTCAAGGTAGCCTGTTAAATGAAAAAAGCAAGAAAAAGAGCAATGTATACCGAATGGTACTATTTGTGCTAGGACAAAAGGAGGTAAGGTATACCCGGATACTTTTTATTAGCATAGACTCTCGAGGAGGATACAAAGAAGCTGGTATTATTGATTCGCTCTGGGGAGGGAAAATGGGCATCTACTTTTTCATAACCCTTTTGAAACTGTTAAACTTTTAAAAATTTACAAAAATTATTTATTTAAATACAAGGAACATGAAAATAAACAGCCAACCTTTCATGTGAAGTAGCATGGAAAAACAGCCATCTTACTAGTTGATGACTGAGCAATCACTAACTCTTTCAACCTCAGTTTTATCATCTGTAAAATGGGGAAATCGATAATATCTGCCTCAAAGAGCTATTGTGAGGACTGACTAAAATTATGGTATGACAAGGGGTTTAAAACCAAAAGTGCAGGGGGGCCTGGATTGTTCAGTTGGTTAGGTGTCTGCCTTTGGCTCAGGTCATGATCCCAGAGTCCTGGGATCGAGCTCCACTTTGGGCTCCCTGTTCAGTGCTCTCTAACTCTCTCAAATAAATAAATAAATAAAATCTTAAAAAAAAAAAAAGTGCCAGGCACCTGGGTGGCTCAGTAGGTTAAGCACCCAATTCTTTGTTTTGGCTCAGGTCATGATCTCAGGGTTGTGAGATTAAGCCCCTCAGTGGGCTCCAGGCTTATCAGGGAGTCTGTTTGGGATTCTCTCTCTCCCTCTGACCACCCCCCCAATAAATAAATAAATAAATAAATAAATAAATAAATAAATAGTGTTATGGAAATGCTGAGTTTTATTATTATTACAATCAGCTTTCTTGTGATTCTATTCAGTAATATTTATTGATGCTATTCCATTTCTTAATATTGTCATGACTAAAAGGTTAAAATTGGTTCATAAGTAGCTAGTATCTGTCCCTAAATAGTGATCATAGTAATCGATAATAATGGCATTATAATTGAGATGAAAAAAGTATTCAAAGCAAGCAGTTTAAGGCAAATAATATACATTAGGGTGAAAATGTAAAGTTTGTGTCCTAGTAGTTGCCATTTTATCATCAGATCAACTCAGGGACTTAACAGACATGATTGTACTAATGTCAAGTGAACTTTGGGCGAAGACACATGGGCAATTTTAGCCAAAACCGAAACAAAAATTAGTTTAATGATTAAAAAAAAAAATAATGAGGGAAATGAGCTGCTGAGAGAGACAGATACTAAAATTATGCCCACCTGAATGGAAGCCTGAGTAGGGGAAAAGTAATATTATCAAACAAAGATTCAAAGTCACTGGTCAGCAGTGCAAATGTAAAATGTTTCATTTATCTAATGCACTCATCCAAAACATATAACAATATTCTTTAGGTTTTGGTTGGGCTTTCCCTTTCTGAATGAACTTCTGCCCAAAGCCATTCTGTCAAGTTAGTAAAGAAGCCGAAAGCAAATAGTGTTCATAGCTAGACTAAGATCATGGAAATCAGTGTCTCAAGGGAAAAAAATAATAAATCCATTTTACCTTGAAGTGGATGTAACTCTTTGTTTTTTTCTTTCAAATTTGTTACACGTTCTGTGTGTTTGGCTTGCTCTGATGTAATCGTCCTGTAAGTCTGAAAGTAAATGTGTGCTTCAGTTTCTTTCTTGAGCTCTAAAAGTCAACATGCCAATTTCAAAGGTTTATATAATTCAAAGAAGAGAAACCAATGCACACCAGCACGCTTTTGCTTCTCCTTTGGAAATTTTTGCTACTAAGTGGAACGCTTTACAAAGGAAAGAAACAAATGCTCTAACAGGAGTCAAAGATAACAGAAAAACACAGGCAGATACAAAGATGAAGACAAAGAAGGAAAAACAAATCATGCTAGAACCAAAATACTCTGACAAGCATTTAGATATCCCCTGGCATTTATCCCAGAGAAATGGCAACTTATGTGCACACAAAAACCCGTACACAAATGTTCATGGTTGCTTTATTTGTAACAGCCAAAAGCTGGAATCTGGCTGGGGGGGGGGTGTCCTACAACAGGTGAACGGTTAAGCAAACTGTGGTACACCCATAACTTGGAATGCTACTCAGGATTAAGAAGGAATGAACTCTCAATACAGGTATAACAATTTGGAAGAATCTCCAGGTAATTATGCTGAGTGAAAAAAGCCAGTCTCAAAAGGCTGTATACCTCATGATTCCATTTATGTAACATTCTTGAAATGGAAAGATGTACACCTAGAGAACAGATGTGTGGTTGCCAGGGCTAAGAAGAAGGGAGGAGAGGACAAAAAAGACTGAGGGCAATTATAAAGGACTACACAAGGGATCCTATGTCCGGACAACAGTAGTGAATACATGAATCTACACGTGACACGACTGCCTGGAATGAAATACACATGCGTGTGTGCCTGTGCGCGCACTTGCGCACACACACAAAGTGCAAGTGAAAGTGGTGAAATATGAATAAGGACAGTGGATTTTATCCATGTTCACTTCCTGGTTGTGATACTGGGTTATCACGATAAAAGATGTTAATCACCAGAAGAAATGAGGCGAAGACTCTGTGAGATCTCTCTGTATTAGCTCTCATGACCGCGTGTAAAACTCAACCATCTCATAACCAAAAGTTTGAAAAAAATCTTCCAAAACAGCATATTTGTAGACCCTAATGAAGATTCCTTAAGTAAGCTAGGGTTTTTCCTTAAAAGCAGAACTATGACCTGACCATCGGTTATTTCAGAAACAGAATCGGGAATAAAGCTTAGCAGTAGGATTACAGATTTTTAAAATCTGCATTTTATATACGTGTTCTCTAAATTTTTAATAACCAAAACCCATGTATCTTATTAAAAATTATACTTTGCAAATTACAAACCATTTTAGAGCATGTTAGAATTAGACTGTGAAAATGGAAAATCTATAACCTCAGGGGTGGAAATGATACCGAAGTGGCCCTAACAAATCCGGCAGATTTTGGTGAATTCAGGCTTGAATCATCTGGGTTTCAAAGGATCAGCAGGAATGATGGTCACCAATCTGGATGAGAGCAGGGGATACTTTCCTGGCAGGGTGGGAGCTCCTGAGAGCTTAAACCACTATGCTGAGTCGACATGCTCCACACCCAGTACACGAAAGCTGAGCCTGGGCAGAGGTTCACGTTCCTGAAATGGCCATCCCAGCAATTACAGCCCAAGGAACATGCTTTTTTTTTGTTCAAGGGACTAAAACACAAGATGAGAAGAAAGGTTAGTTCAGGCAGAATCGAAGAAATGAGGATATTGGAATGATTCACACTCACGTGTAGCCGAGAGAATTTAGTTTTCCAAATCAAAGGTGGTCATACAGAGTAGAAAAAAGGCCTATCAAAAGAGGCCTCAAATCTAGACTTCAAAAGTTATTTCCAAATGATATCACTCATTATATGTAAGTGTTTAAAATATCTCACAAACATCTCAGATCTTCAAAAAACTGATATGACCTGGGCCTGCCTCAGAGTCTAAGAGGCTCTTATTGTAGAAGATTTTACGTGAAAATGAAAGACTGGCTGGTGACCATCTCTGGATTCCATTCAGATAAATCTAGTAGAGAACTTATTTTAGTATAGGACAAAGGGAAGGTGGCGGGGGGGGGGACTTGAATACAGGTTTTCAAGTGTCTCACATTCTGCATTTCCTCCTAACAAGAGCCTAAGATTCTTGGGAATTGAAGCTTCCTACATTCAAGAGTCAAACCACACATTCTTAGAGGTGGAAGGGGACTTGGAGCTCATGCTTTGTCCAACTCTCGCTCCCCTTGAGAGAGAACAAGGCCAGAAAGGGCTCAAAGGACAGTCATTTGATAACCTTCCTGTTTACGATTGCTCTTGCAAAGAAAGATTGGACTGGAGAGATTCATGTCTGGTACTAATAAGCATAATTATGGGCATAGTGAGTTCCAGATGAAATTCCATCTATCCAGCTCCCCCTAAAATCACATGGCCCAGTTCAATCTCTGTTTCTCCAATGGCCTACTTCCAACAATAGTAGCTCTGGGCAGTGAATTCAACATTAAGCAGTAGATGGTAGAAGGAAAGGAATCTGGGTATGAGTGAAAGCTGGTGGATCAGTGGAGGATGATAATATAAGTGACATATTTGAAGTTTCTGGTTTCTTGAGGCTCTCAAAATTCTGAAGATTAGGATAAGTTATTTTGGTTTGGCCATCTACATACAAACTGCTCCTAGTTACGCCTAAAAGTCCCTTTATGCATATCTCTGTAGGGTCAAACCAAAATGTAGTGACTCTTGTGTACTCTTAGGGTTTCCGAAAATTTTATATTTATTTTCCTTTTGTTCATAATGAAGATTAAATTTTGATTTAGAAAGTTTATGACAAAATGGGAAATGATTCAATAGACTTATTATTACTTATTTAATGCACAAATATTTCATCACTTTAGCTCCAAAATCATACTATCAAAAGCTTCATTTTTCAGTGATTACCTGGAAGGAGTACGTAAAACATTCTTTTAACTTTGCATATGTCTATTTTGAATTTTTAAAAATATATGAATAAATATTATCATTTTCAAATAATGAATGTATACAAATATATATAAAACTAATAAAAACCATGGAGACAGTACAAAGATTTGGGGAGGGAAGAGTGAATACATGGAACACAGGGAATTTTTAGGGCACTGAAACTATTCCATATGATACTATAATGGATATATTGTTATACATTTGTCCAAACCCATAGAACATGCAACACCGAGAGTGAACCCTAATGTAAACTATACACTTTAGTTAGTTAAAATGTATTGATATTGACTCATCAGTTGTAACAAATGTACCACACTAATGTGAGGTTGTTGATGGGAGTATTGAGAGGAGATATGAGAACTCTATACTTTCTGCTGATTTTTCTATAAACCTAAAATGCTCTAAAAAAAAAAAAAAATAGTCTATTGGACACCTGGTGGCTCAGTCAGCTAAACTCAGGTCCTCCTGATCCTGGGGTCCTTGGATGAAGCCCACATCAGGATCCCTGCTCAGCAGGGAGCCTGTTTTTCCCTTTCCCTCATCCCCTCCCCACTACTGGTGTTCTTTTGCTCTCTCAAATAAATAAATAAAATCTTTTAAAACATAGTCTATTAAGTTAATCTTTCAAAACGGTTCTTGTTTAAATGTTAGTAATAGTACCTACCTTATAGAATTGCTGTAATTATTAAATGAGCCGTGAGTCTGTCATATGATAAACACTCATAGGTCGACTATTACTATTAGTATTTATAATAACATCGTTTTAAAAAATATTTTATTTATTTTAGAGAGAGAGTGAGAGCATGAGAGGGAGGAGGGTCAAAGGGAGGAACATACTCCCCACCCAGCAGGGGCAGGCAGGTCTCAAACCCAGGACTCCAGGATCATGATCTGAGCCAAAGGCAGTCATTTAACCAACTGAGCCACTCAGGTGCCCCTAATAATGTCATTTTTACTGGAAGTCACCTGTACTTGGCAGTGTATATTGTGTAAGAAATGTTGATTTCCCACCATCTTGTATATTTAATTAATCTCATGTCCTGACTTTGATAATGTTTTGAGTTTTACATAGGTCATGAAATATATGAATTCCTGAACATCATGGTTATTTAAACACTTACATAATATCCACCAGCACTGACCGTGACACCTACAACCAGATAATAGATCATATTTGATCCAGATGATCCAAACCATTTATTAGATGACATCCAGCGAAGAGATGCTAGGAAAACAAGTTGAAACACAGTTAGCTCTACCACTTAAGCAAAACTATTTAAAATAATTATACCTTAAAAAAAATTTCCTCTTCGGTGAACTATTAACATCAAGTGATTTTTAGCTTAAGGGAATACAGTATCACAAGGTAGGGTAGTAATTCCATTTGACATTTTCCCAATCTCATTTGATAAGTACTTATGAAACCTGTCACCTTCGTGCTTAGCATCATGCTTTTCTTGGAAAGAGTGCAGGCGTGAGTAAGGAGAAATGACAAAAGCACTGAACAGTTTTAACAGTCCAACAAGATGCAAAAGAAATCCATTTGCTGTATGTACTCCACTACAGGCTTCAGTGGAAAAGATTATCTTTACAAAAATTGAATTAAATATATCTGAACTGAAACTAACATGTTAAGTAAAACAGGTTGACGCCCAACACATTTCTACAAATCTATAATACAAATATCCTATGTAGACAGAAATCTTAATTTTTCTAACAAAAGCCTTTAAAGATGAGCAGATATAAGCTTGTTTAGGACAAGATGTTACAACATGGTCATGTATGAAGGAGAAGTACAATTCTGTACAAACCAATAGAAATAGAGCACTGTATTATTATGTCTAAATACATAAAACTTGTAAATGTCATACACCCTCGGATTGAAATTTTTAACAATAGACTCAGAGATAGAAAGAGCTTAAAGTTCATATAGGTCAAATTCTTTATTTTCAAGATACAAAAAAAGTAGAAACATTAATTTATTCACTCAACAAAAAAGGGTTGAGCGTCTACTATGTGTTTGGTCTTATCAGAATCATTAAGGATAGAACTTTGAACAGGACATACAAGGTCCTGAGCCTCATGTAGCTCACATAGTTGAAGGAGGGAAGAAATGCACAAATAACTGAAATGCATGCGGCAAATGCTGGAACAGAAGCAAGCAGAAGTTGCAACAACAGCATGAAAATTCAGTGAAAAACCTTAAAGGACCTGTCAAAATTAAAGAGACATCACCTGGGTTGTGAAGGAAAGTAGAGGAGACTGTCAGATGAATAAGGGAGAGAAAATTGCACCAGAGGCAGAAGGCACAGCACATGCAAGGTCAGGAGAGCTAAAAAAGTGCAAAGTAATCGGATGTGACCTGACACACAGGGTGTGCATGAGGACTGGGGAGAAGTTTTGATTTGCAGTTGCCCTAATTACAAATCTTTGTATTAGCAATACTGGAAAGACTTCCTGTATGTGTTTTCAGTTTAAATATAAACAATCATCTCTTGGAAAAAATATTTTTTCCGCACCAGTGTAGCCAAAGAGGTTATCTTAAGAGGGTATGGCTTTGACCTGTAGTGGGGCTTTTGTTGGTTTAAAAGTACATCTGTTACTAAATAGGGAATATGTAGCTTCTGTAGTTGTCAACCAGACATAATATCAAAAAGATTATTTTAAATAGGAAGCAATAAAGAAAATCATCAGAAATGTAAGTAAAGACTTAAATACAATTATGACAATTAAAAGAGCAACGAGGGGTGCCTGGGTGGCTAAGTGGGTTAAAGCCTCTGCCTTCTGTTCAGGTCATGATCCCAGGGTCCTGGGATGGAGCCCCACATCGGGCTCTCTGCTCAGCAGGTAGCCTGTTTCCCCCTCTCTCTCTGCCTGCCTCTCTGCCTACTTGTGATCTCTGTCAAATAAATTTAAAAAAATCTTAAATAAAAATAAAAGAGCAATAAAATGGGAAATATTTAATAAAGATTAATTAGTTAAATTTGAGCATATCGATGTAATGTGAAATAGATATTAGAAGTTTTGCAGGAGAATAGTTGCTTACCTAAGAAAATATTTACAATATAGTAAATGCAAATTTATAGCAAAATAATCTATACAGGGCTATCTCAGTTTGTGGAAGCAATGTGCACAAGAATAAAATGCAAGAGGAAGAAAGTTCTGGAACATTATATATACTAAAATGTAAATGGTGGTATTCTCTGAGTGGCAGGATTACAGGTGACCTCTCTTTTGCCTGTCTGCGTTCCTTCCAATGATCTATTAGAAACCCCAATTATTTACTCATCAAAAAGTTACATTTTTAAAAAGCAAAAGCCTGAGAACACAATTTGGTGAGGCACAGCGAAAATTTTACTCTTCAGTTCATCAAAACAGAAAGTACCAACAAAAAGGTCAATTAATCTCCATGACTGAAGCCAGATTCCCGGTCAATAATAGTTCTTAAAATACATAAACAAATCAATGCTACGAAAAAAGTAATTAGATGAAAATGAGAGAAAGATCAGTGCTGCTACAGCCGGTATTGCTAACTACCGATTTAAAATGTCTAACCTGTTTTTCTTTTACCCCAAGTTGGGGAAGAAATTATCTGAAACGCTTCGCTACAAAAGAGGTGTGTGTGTTTGTGCGTGTTTGTCCCTGAAGCCGGTGGTGCATGCAGAAGATAACGCCAAAGGCCACGGTCAGGGGGCTCATCCTTCTCCCCTCCCCACCCCCAATCACAACGGCCTCGTTATCTTACGAAGTTTAAAATTAAAATTAATGGGTTCTACTTCGTCAGTGAAAAAATGCTCTATCTTACTCAGTGTAAAGATCGAGGAAAACGAAGATGCCTTATTCTGTTATCGGTGAGGCAACGGCTTCCTACCAGCTTTTTAAGAGAAAAATAAAGCTATCTGGACAGACCTTCCCTCCCTCCCACCGCCATCACCACCACAGGCCTAATCAAAGTGGGGTGGGGGCGGCGGGACTTGGCCCATGGAATCTTCCGCGGGAATGTTTCTTTCTCTGTTGGCTCCAATGCACGCTCTGGGCTAAACTACCTCACAAGCCTTAGAAAGTGAGGCCAAGTGCGGGTAGAACTAACTTTCCAAGAGGTTGTCTAAGAGCTGCTGGGCTAAGCAGGACGGCAAAGACAGGGGAGACGAAGGAGGTCTGCGAAGCAGCCGCTGGTGCAGAACTGCACAGGAGCGCGAAGCCCGCCCGCAGCAGGGAGGGAAAACACGCATGCCCACACTTATTAAGCCCCTACAGTGTTCCAGGCACTATAGTAGGCGCTTTCGTATTTTTCAAATTTTAGTTAAGAGGCTTCCAGCTTGGGCGCCTGGGTGGCTCTGTTGGTTAAGCGACTGCCTTCGGCTCAGGTCACGATCCCACGGTTGCAGGATCAAGTCCCACAAGGGCTCCCAGCTCCACGGGGAGTCTGCTTCTCCCTTTGATCTTCTCCCCTCTCATGCTCTCTCTCACTCTCTCTCCGTAAATAAACAGAATTAAAAAAAAAAAAAAAAGGAGCTTCCAGCTTGAACTGCAACTTCCCCCTTTAGGAAATTTCCGAATACTATCCCTCTTCCCATGCATCGCCAAATCTAAAGGTGACAGATACCGGGACGGGGGGGCGGAACAGGTGGATAGCTCCGGGTTTCTGCGCAGTCCCAGCGAAAGTGCTTCGAAGGTTCCTAGAGTTCCGGCTGCGGAGCCCCGGACAAGCCATAAGTTTATTTATTCAGGGGCATCTAGCCAACATTTAGTGGGCCCGCACTCCCTCCCGCGCCCTGCCTGGCTCCATCGTGCCCCCGTTCCTCTGTTTCCTCGTGAACTTAGCCAGCCATTTTCTTAAGCGCTTTTAACGGCATATTAACTCATTAAAACTCACAACCATTATTGTCCCCATTTTAGACATGAGGAAACAGGCGAAATCCCTCGCCCAATCAAGATTCGAACCCACGAAGCCTAGTCCGGATTCCGAACCCGCTCTAGAAAGGTTCCCTACTATCCAAGGCTTGGAGAACTTCGGGGCGTCCTCCCCGCGACTTTCCTCCATTTCTCCCCTAGCCCCAATCCCAGGCTTCTGCCCTCGGACCGTGTTTGTCCCCCCAACCCCACCTCCCGGGTGCCGGCGGGCACGGGGACCCCGGCCAATCTGAGCGAGAGACGCCGGTCCTCTTCAGGCTTGGACGCCGGGGCCCGCGCAGTACTCACCGTCCTTCCGGAGCGGCGCGGGGCCGGGGGGCGCCCTCAGGGGCAGCGCCAGCGTCTTGGAGACCGCCCTGCGGAGATACATCGCGCCCGCTGCCCGCAGCGCCGCAAACTCTGCTGCCCGCTCGCGCTGCGAGGCGCGGGGAGCCGGGGCGAACTCCGCCCCGGGGAGGAGCGCGGACCCCTGCCCAGCCCCGCCCGTGTGCCCCCGGGAGGTGGGGACGGGTTGTTCGCCCGCTTCTTCCACCCCCGACCTAGTCTCCCGACTCTGTTGCTCTCTCCCAGGTCCGAGAAACTAGCTGTACGCGCCTTCTCAGAAAAGGGATCGGGAATCGAGAAGTCACCATCACCTGCCGAACTCCGGCGAATAGGCTGGAGATGGTTGAAGGACTTGCATCGTGAATAAGATAGACATGGTTCATCATGTCGGATGTAGTCTGAACCCATTTTAAGTCACACTCCCCGTTAGCTTTCCTAGGAGTGGAAAAGGTAGCTGGAAGTTTCCGGGAGGTGGAATGAGGAGAGGAGTAGCGCAGCCTTCCGTTAGTGCGCTGGGTGATGTTCAGAATCGCAAGAAAACCCCCAGGAATAGTTGACTCTCTAGGCAATTCACTATTACAAAAACGTTAAATATAAACTCCTAAATAATGTACATTCCTGTATGGGTTGTGAAATTAGTATTTCCACATGAACTAAAAGTGCTGAATTATTAGTTTCTTCTCCCAGATTTCAATTTCTTGCTTCATGGTGGCTACAGGAATTTGTCATGATTCGAATATGGAAACCAATAATTTATGCTTATCACATTGTCTAAATGATTAATTTTGGAAGGCACGTTTCCTCCTATAATAATCCCTCATATGTGTTTGGCACATGATAGTTTATAAAGCACTTGCACATATATTATCTCTTTTAATTCTTCTTTCAACCCTCTGAGGAAGATGGTAATTATTACCTCTAGCAAATGGTTTGGTGGTAAAGAGGAATGTCCAGGAACTGATGGTCATGAATTAAAAAATAAAGGACATGATCATAGTTCTAGTTTCAAGTTCTCTTGGCATGTTACAGGCACATTTGCACATTTGCTATGTGAATAGACACTGCTCAGAGGTCCTACTTCTTTTTTTTTTTTTTAAGATTTATTTATTTATTTGTCAGAGAGAGGGAGCCCGGGCAGGTAGAGTACCAGGTAGAGGCAGAGGGTGAAGCAGGCTCCTTGCAGAGCAAGATCCTAGGATCATGACCCCAGCCGAAGGCAGCCACTCAACTGACTGAGCTACCCAGGTGTCCCAGAGGTTCTGCTTCTTTGCCCCAAAAATGTATGTTAATATTTTACATACTCTCGAAGAATACAAAGTCAATGTTCAGAACTGGTTTTTTGAGGGGTGCCTGGGTGGCTCAGTCAGATAAATGTATGCCTTTGGCTCAGGTCATGGTCTCAGGGTCCTGGGGTCAAGCCATGAATGGAGCCCTCTGCTCGGTGGGGAGTCTGCTTCTCCTACTCTCTCTCCCTCTGTGCTCTTTCTGTCAAATAAATAAATAAAACCTAAAAAAAAGAGAGTTTTTTTTTTAAATATTCAGAGTAGCTAGCTATCCTTAGTGATTAAACACTTGAATAAAAGCAATTAGGTAATCCGTAGTTAATGAGTGATCAAATTTTGATTTCCAAGCACTTTCCTGAAAGTAGCAAAATGCAGGTTAGTGTACTTACTACCTTCACCAACATTGAGCATACATCTGCTGGCAACTAGAGATTAGCTATCTCCCTGGGGTGTAAGATGTTTAATGGACTGCTAGCAGCTAGGACCAATGGACAAATAATCCAAATCTGCCTTCCACTATGGCTCATTTGTTCCCTGGTGTACTTGGGGATGAATTTTTACTTGGCTGTCAGGGAGGAAATAGTCAAAGGCAGTAAATGCATTTAAATGAATTAATGCATGTATTATACTGCTATTTAATGTGTTAGAAGCTCCCCTAAGAAGGATTCTTTCTGAGTAAATATTTGTAAATGAGGGTGGCTCTTGGGACACTGTTCTAGGCTCCTTTTCAGAATTCAGTTATATTCTCTTTCTGAGTATAGTCTGAGGTCTTCCAGATCACCTCTAGGCTGCATAGTAACCACCCAATCTCAGTCAGTTAAACTGTAAGTATCTGTCAAAATGCTTACAAGATGCTAGGAACCATGCTGGATGTTGGAGATTAGTTTATTATTTATTTCACAAATATTTATCGAGTATCTATTATGTTAGGCATTGTTCCAAGGCATTCTCCAACGAACAAGAAAAAATTTCTGCTATCACACAGATATTATAGTGAGACATGGAACCAACATCTTTTCTCAGAGATAGTTACCAAGTGATCACAAAGAAATCTCTGATCAGATATTAATAATAAATGTAATCTAATGCCTTTGGGTTATAACCGAACTAGTTTTAATAATGCAACTGATTGGTTTACAGGAGGCAAGAATAACACATATATACAGGCCTTCAAAAGCTTTTCCCAAAGTATTGTCTCATCTATTTTCGTACTTTATCCTCTCAACAATCCTGAAGGATATTGGATAATGCTGATTATCCCTCTATCACATATGAGAAAAACTGAGGTAGTATAGCACAATAGTTAAGATAGGAGTTTGGGAGCCAGATACCTGGTCTATTTTACTGCTTTGAGTAAAATGTGGACAATTCCTTTATTTATAGGGCTGGTGTGAGCTCTAAAGCACATTAGTATGAAATGTGTTCCCCTAGATCCCCAAGATTCTGACTTCCGGCCCAAGCTGGAGCTCAAGGCTCCTTTTACCATATTCTGCTGCCTTTCAATGCACACACGACAAGATCCATCACATTCCACTCTCTTATCATACGGTAAGGTCTAGTGGGGAGCCTATCATGTCCTCTAGGTTGGATGTGGCCATGCCAGCGGGGAGAGGCAAGAAATGTAAGTTAAAAAACGCCACTCTCTAGGTCCTACTCATCTTAATTAAAAGCTCTATGCCCCTCATTTCTTTTCTCTTTTTTTTCAAGTAAGCTCTGAGCCCATCGTGGGGCTCAAACTCACAACCCTGAAATTAAAAGCCTCATGCTCCAATGACTGAGCCAGCCAAGCGCCCCAAACTCAATGCCTCTTGGATCAAAGGAAATTTTCTACCCACTCTACAGCTCCTGTAGAATATGTGGTTTTCCATTTCGATGACCAACTCTTCACATCTTGATGAAATGCTTCCCATGAGGACATGTGAGGACACACCTGTGGGTTGTCAAATTCACTCTGTGGCAAGCTGTTTCTCCCAAAGAAGAAAATTTTAACATAGGTATTTGCTGTAGAAGACTGAGAAGCTCAGACAATGATTTCCCAGCTGTTGGTCATATTGTTTCTAATACTGCCCTTCAGCACATCCTTGACATTTTTCTTGGTCTGGTTGGGAAAACAAGAATCAAGGGTCAGGGATAATTTGGCTTACCTAAGATGGACTCCACCTAATTGTGATTGCTGACAAAGAAGATATCAGTCTTGAAAACATATTGTAAGGGTCCTCTACTGGCAATATTCATCATACTTACTCAAGGCTTAAGTCTATAAATTAAAAGCAATTTTCAAAGACTGATTTCCTGCGCTCCACCAAAAGTTAGAAAAAACTTTTCTTTTTTCTTTCTTTTTTAAGATTTTATTTATTTGAGAGAGAGAGAGAAAAACACAAGTGGGGGGAGGAGCAGAGGGAGAGGGAAAAGCACACTCCCCGCTGAGCAGGTCCCAGGACCCTGGGATTCTGACCTGAGCTGAAATCAAGAGTGAGATGCTTAACCAACTGAGCCATCCAGGTGCCCCGCAGCTTTGTTTCTCTTGACACTAAATTCTCAGAGTATAATCTGCACAAATTTGGACAGCTTAGGACAACAGAAATAGATTCTCACGGTTTGGGGCACTCAAAGTCTGAAATCAAGGTGTCAGCAGGGCCACACCTGCTCTGAAACTTGTAGGGTAGAATCCTTCCTTGCCTTATCTAGCTTCTTAGTTTGTCAGTAATCCTTGGCTTGTGGATGCATCCCTCCAATTCGTCTCTGCCTCTATCACTACCTGGCAGTCATCTCCCTGTGTGTCTGTGTCTCTTCTCATTGATATACCAGTCATATTGGATTAAGGATCCACTCTAGGCCTATATGAGCTCATCTCAACTAATTACATCTGCAACTACCTTATTTCCAAATCAGGTCACATTCTGAGATACTGAGGGTTAGGACTACAACATATCTTTTGTGGGAACACAAACCTATTACTTCCTATACTTGCAACTGGATTTATATAGCCTGTTTTTTCCATGGAAACTTAGTAATTTAGGGGCACCTAGTGGACTCAGTCAGAAGAGCAAGCAACTCTTAATCTCAGGTTTGCGAGTTTGAGCCCCAAACGAGGTGTAGAGCTTACTTAAAAATGAATGAATGAATGAATAACTAAATGACTACCTCATAGTTACTAGATCTGAAAAAAAGGTCTACCTTATTTTTTTTTAAGATTTTATTTATTTATTTGACGGATAGAGATCACAAGTAGGCAGAGAGGCAGGCAGAGAGAGAGGAGGAAGCAGACTTCTCGCTGAGCAGAGAGCCCTATGCGGGGCTTGATCCCAGCAGCCTGGGATCAGGACCTGAGCCGAAGGCAGAGACTTTAACCCACTGAGCCACCCAGGCACCGCAGGTCTACCTTATTTTTTAAAAAGATTTTACTTGAAAGAGAGAGAAAGTGAAAGAGAGAGCATGAGCAGGGGGAGGGGAGAGGCAGAGGGAGAAGTCGACTCCAGGCTGAGCAAGGCCCCAGGATCATGACCAGTCCTGAAGACGGACACTTAACCACTGACCTCCCAGGTATCCCTGATTTTGATCTGATAAAAATCTTGATTGTATTTGACAAAGGATTTGTCTGCATCTTCTTTTTTATGTGAACTCTCTCACATTACTAAAGAAACCACAATCCGACCACAGTTCCTCTTGGGAATTTAGAATTACAATTAGTGTGTGGTCCAACTGCACTCTTCAACTTAGATGTAAATCTAGGAACTATTGACTATGGCCTCTTACAATGTTGATTGTGCTGGAAAAGAAAATTGTGTAAAGAAAACAGACAGCAG